CTGTAGGGTGCATCATGGGGTCCGAAATCCTTATATGCAACATTCGTATAAGACGAGGACGTTCACAAAACAGCTAGATCAAAATCGAACTTGAGAAAAAAATTGGACATGATTTGTTTGTCCTCTCTTGTATTATTATTTCCTCACTTTCCGTGCATGCTTGACCAAGTTTTCTATCACTCCTTCAAACGCTTCCCTATCGCCTATCTTCTCGTCTGTTCGTTTCTTCCAATATTCCAGAATTTCGTTGGCTGTTCCCTCCATGGCTTCTAGTTTAGAAACATGCGCCTTCAATTCTTCATTCGTCATGCCATCCAGCGCCTCGTCCGTGGTCATGCAGAGGTATCGGGCGGCAACCAAATCCAGCTCAGGCTGGGGAGGTGGTCCTTTCCTCTTTTTGGAGCCCCTGGGCTTGCCCTGCGTATCTACTGAGGTTGACGAAGCATTTCCCTCGCTCTGTTGTAGCCTGGATGCGGACCTTGAATCGCTCGACCTCCTAGGTGACGAGGCCCGTATCTTGAGAGAAGGAAGAACCAGCTTCTTCTGCTTGGATGCTGGAAGAATTTCATCCAAGTCTACGGGCACACCTAGTGAGACGAGGAAGAGACGGCGGGTGCGAGACCGAATCCAGTCAGGTGGCGCAAGAGGGGGAGGAGCGACCAGCTGAGACCAGAGTGAGGCCGATCTTGGAGTGAGGAATATGGATGACTCTTGAGGGAGTGTCTGCGGAGGAGGGAAGACTAGCTCTTGCGGGGGAAACAGGCTGTCCAAGCATGGCTCGGCTGTCGACATTACTTCATCCGGCCCTAATCCGTCGAAATCGGGTATCGACTGCATGATGATGTTGTTAGAAGGCGGTTGATCACGGGTGGAAAGGTGTTATTCTTACAAATGGTAGTGTGGATGGCTGAACTGTGGGCGGAGCTTGTGTAGCCGCTGCTGTTGCTTGTGGCTGTTGAAAGCCGTCCTCGAAATCATCAAAATCATTATCTTGTCTTCCTTCTTCAAAGTCATCAAAATCGTCCCCGAAGCCATCCCCCTCCTCTTCGTCCGCGTTCTCATCGCCTCCATGCTCAGCATGTTCATCATCCGCTGCTATCTCTAATACAACGTCTGGCTTGGCATCGGTACTTGAAAAGCGCTCCGGGGCATCAGCCGAGTCAACTGGCGCCAACATGGTAACAGGCACTTCCTGTTTAGATATCTCGGTCTGTATTTCGGTCTTAGGATCATCTTGCTGGGCAATTTCTTCTGATTGTGCATCGGCTTCCCCTTTCTCTTTTCTCTCTGCGGCTGGAATTTTGGCGGGAGAGCAGCTTGAATCGGCATTCTCAGCTCGTGGTTTAGGCATCGGAGAAGTTGCATGTGGTGTTGCGGTCCCAGACTGAGCATCTGTGAACTGATCGTCTGAATCTGAAGACTCTGGCTCAGCTGCATGGCAGTTAGCATAATACTGCATACGTTGGCAGTCATAGAGGTGCAGAATGCATACATAGTTGATGTGCCCCGGGGTCTGTCTTGCCTATCTCTGGAGGGGGCCCCAGGCCCTCGGATGTCGCCATAACTGTGGTATGAGGTATTCAACGACTTTCTGCTTGTAATCAATATCGAGAAGGCAATCTAGCGTACAATTGCTGTCGTGTTGGCCCCTGAAGAAAGTCCGACTAATAGTGGCATAAGTGGACAGGCCAGTACGGCCTCTTGGTCGTGACGCTCGGTATTTGCGAATTCCAGCCTCAGATCATGCTGTAAAGCGATCGGTGGTGAACTTAGGTCAGCGTCATCCGTCGTCTTTTCTCTCTCGGATCTGGTCGCGTTTGATACGAACATGGACGAGTCGGTGGGATATGAATGGTTATTCTAGGTGTCGAGGTCGCTCTATCACGTGGGGCTCATCAATTAGGTCTGCATGGTTGCACAACATTGTTCGAGCTCCTCGTCGAAGGGGTCAAAGGGGCGGTGCTCCAGTTGACTGTGTACTTAAGTACATGAGGCAGGTACCTAAGTACTTAAGTACTTCGGGCACAACATAGAGACAGTGCAGGGCGGAGTACATGTACCTTCGAGGCTGCGCCCAAGCCTCTGGGTTTTGGCGCGGCCAGTCCAACCCAGCCAGCCCGGCGCGTGGAACTCGACATGGCCAAAAAAAAAAAGCTGCCAAATCTCGAACTCTCCCGCGCAAGCTTTTGCTATCTTGACGATTGTATCCCAACCACATCGCGACGAGCGTTGGGAAGGCTGTATCGGCATTGAAATCAGCCAGCCTTCAGCATAGGACTTAGTGTGGTGGTATTTTGAGACTTTGGGATTTCTTTGCCGTCGCCCACGCCGCCCTTTTTCGCAGGTCCGCCCGGACCCTAGGAAACGATCCGTCTTCCAGATAGCCAAAAACACCATGTCGTTCACCTTCGGAACTCAGGGCTCATCGAGCGCGCCATCCAATAATGCGACAACTACCGCGCCGGCCTCTGGCGGCCTCTTTGGGGCTACTTCATCTGGAAACACTCCTTCCTTCTCGTTTGGCTCACTAGGTAGCACTACCGGCAACAACTCAACTCCAACAAACAGTGGTGGATCTATATTCGGTCAGAAACCAGCCGGCGACGCGCAGAAGCCAGCAGGTGGTCTATTTGGGGGAGCATCTTCGTCTTCAAACACGGCACCAGCCCCAACATCTGGAGCTCTGTTTGGAGGAACTTCCACAACACCAGCGGCTGGCAGTCCCTTTGGCGGAACAAGCAATACTTCCTCTACGCCTACATCAGCAGCACCTGCGTCTACTGGGCTGTTTGGAGGAGGCAGTGGCGCTCTTGGAGGCTCCAACACTTCCTCTTCTAAGCCAACTTCTGGTACCTTGTTTGGTGGCCTTGGTTCATCGTCCGGCGGTGGTCTTTTCGGCGCCCAGACCAGCAGTGGACAGTCTCAAAGTACGACTACGACAGCTGCAGCGCCCTCGTCTGGTTTGTTCGCGAGTTCCGGAAGTTCCTTGTTCGGAAACAAAGCCAGCACGACTCCTAGTTCGAACACACTGAGTACAACCCCAACAACTGCTACTGCGGCAACACCAGCCAAGCCCATGTTTTCCCTGCCATCGACTACTCCAGCGGGAGCTCCCCCGACTGATTCATCGAAGCCCGCATCTACAGCCGGGACGGCCGCCGGTGGACTCTTTGGCAGTGCTGCGCAGCCAACCACTTCGTCAGCTTCAACATCCGCCGCCCCAGCTGCCCCAGGACTTTTCGCAGGCGCACAATCTGGAGGCGGATCTTCTGCAGGAAGTCTTTTTGGCAATAAACCGGCGGCTACCACCGGAGCCCCTGCTGGTGGTTTGTTTGGCGCCCCGACCAGTAGCACGCCATCTACTTCAGCAACATCCGGACCAGCCACAGCTACCGCAGGTTCGACAAGCTCATTATTTGGCGCGAAAGCTGCTGGTACCGTGGGTTCAACCGCTCCAGCTTCAACAACTACCAGCAGCAGTCTCTTTGGTGGTACTGCCGCCAGCTCTGCCACAACAACTTCGTCTACACCTGCAACCGCGGGTGGTACTACGGGGGGGTTATTTGGAAACAAGCCGGCGACTACAATAACCTCTTCAACAACTCCAGCTGTTACCTCAGCGGCAGGTGGTCTATTCGGGGGCCAGGCTGGTTCTACTGCTGCAGCTAAACCTGCGTCTTCTCTATTCGGTGCGACTGCTGCCGCATCAGCGCCTGCCCAGCCTGCGGCCGCAGCCCCTGCGTCAACGGCAGCACCCACAGCAGCACCCACTTCAACTGCGGGAGGTTTGTTTGGCTCCAAACCTGCAACAGACGCAACGAACAAGGACAATGCCAGCAAGGAGGAGCCTAAACTCACGACTCAGAATGGCACCAACAGCGCCCTCGGTGCTTCTACAACCGGCCCAACTTCGCAGATGGCTAGACTGAAGAACAAGACCATGGAGGATATTGTCACTCGATGGGCTTCAGATCTAACCAAGTATCAAAAGGAGTTCAAGGAACAAGCTACCACAGTGTCGACCTGGGATCGCAGCTTGGTTGAGAACGGCGAAAAGATTCAGAAGCTTTACCTTGATACTTTCGAAGCTGAGCGGGCCAGCCATGAAATTGAACGTCAGCTGGCCGCTGTGGAAAGCCAGCAAGAGGAGCTAGAAGCATGGCTAAATCGCTACGAGTCAGAGGTGCAGGACATGTTTGCCAAACAAATTGGACCTGGCGAGCAGCTTGGCGGACCTGATCAGGAGCGTGAGCGCACATATAAGCTGGCTGAAAAGCTAACGCAACAGTTGGATGAGAAGTCTCGAGATCTCTCAAAGATGGTTAAGGAAATCAACGACATCTCTGGGACTTTGAGCAAGGGCACCAAGACCGAAGATCCTGTAAGTAACCATTCATTCCCAATATTTTGTTTCTCACTTCTAAGACAACTTTCACAGTTGAGCCAGATCGTGCGGGTTCTCAATGGCCATCTCACGCAGTTGCAATGGATTGATGCAAATGCATCGGCATTGCAGGCCAAGGTTTCGGCTGCACAAAAGTCCAGCGGCTCCCTCAACAACCACTACACTGGACCAGAGAGCGATGCTGCCGAGGGCTTCTACCGCTCATACTACGGACGCCGATGAAAAGGCAGGCAAATAGTTGACATGGCCTTTTGGAATATATGGAACGGAGTACTGGAGGACACTTGGGCCGATGACATTTTCTGGCAATCACATGTTTTTGAGGGGAAGTTTAATGGAGACACAGAGCTGAAATATTGTCCCGATACTCGGAAATTACAACGAGTAGCAGGTATTTGTACACTAGCCAGACTGTGGCATAATCACACAAGTCTTTGATGATGAAAAAAAGATCGTTGCCACATTGTTTTCCAGTTCTTCCTTTCCTTGGGGTGTAGTAGATAGATGCAACCTTTCGGCAAGAAATCGTAACCTTGGTGTCTGAAGCTTCTACAGTCGCGGCGGAGGCGTAACCAGCGGGCGTCCGGGACGATATCTAGTTCTTCTCGCCACCCTGATCGCGGGTGATCTCCTCACTACGCAGGTGTTCTGTTAGTATCAACCCATAGCATTTCCGAGTCGCATCACGCATTTCGGGGACGAATCAAGGCGGGGATTCCAGACTAACATGTGGTCAGAGAGGCGCTGAAGGTGTTGCTGCTGTTCAGCGAGCTTCTTCTTGAGCTCGAGGAGACGCTCCTTCTCACGCTGGCGGATAGCCCAGTCCTCGCTGGCGCGCTCACGGCGCTGGAAGGCGTCACTGTAAAGAAACCAATCCCCCCAGTCAGTCAATGGACTAGAAACTTCAGTTTGCATGGAGGAGATCTGCCGTCTCTCCCAGCGGTCTTCGGCGAGGGGCAAAAGCTGGGTCGCAGAGGAAGAAAGTAACTCACCCAGGGCCGCCGGTCTTGGGAGGCGCGCCGGTATCACCCTCGCTCATGGCTCGAGCAGTAGTGGTGAAGGTAGCTCGGAGGGGACGGAATGCGGCCGTCTTGGCAAAGGTTGTGCGGAGCATGATGGGCACAATTGGGATGCGAGTGTGGGAGGCAAAGTAATGGTGGTGGTGGTGTTTTGCGGTATGACGTGCGGGCAGTATCGAGGTTTTGAGGGAGCTCGGAGAATGGGCTGATGCTATGCGCCACATGAGTGGCCAGAGCTCGGCGATAGTAGGGTACATGATGTGTGTGCCACGGCGCATGAAAACAATATGTATTTTTCCAACATCGTCGTCGCTGCTGCCGCCTTGATCCGAAAATTTCCACTCACGACGAATGGACACAAGCTTAGGGAACAGAACCCAATTCGTGCCTCTTGATATAAAACAATGCAGGCGCTATTATTTTGTAGTACTACTTCCATCTATGTTTACGCCTGGATTTGCTTATGTCATGGCATGTCTCAAATGCACAGTCTGATTTGGCAACGCCAATGGCAGCACGTCCAAGGTTCATCACACCTTGGAGCCCAGGTAGGGTTATTCCCGCTACGGAAGAAACATATTAAAAGACCGTAGAAAGGGCCAGTGATACACCGGGTTCTGGTGGACACGTTCGTTCTGGCGGGCATCAGTTCTACCGCCCAGAAATAAACTGCTGGGCATTGGCTGCTCGGTACGCCGTGCTGTATGGGGGGAGAGGCACAGCATAATAATGTTTGACCATTTGCATAAACAGGGCTGACAAAATTTCGGCTTTCCAGGCAGAAATGGGCTGCATGAATATGCCGGCATTAAACCCGTGGAGCGGTAGAGCGTTGAAACGATGGCGGGTTATGACGGATATCCCAATGTTACGAAGCACCATATCGATACGCAAGTGGCGGGCGCCGCGAGACTGAGGCTAACCTTGGGAGTGAGCTTGTTGTAAATGACTATAGCGTCCCACGACGACCGGATACAAAGACTATTTGACGTAGACGACGATCAAAAACTTGCCGAAATAATACAAGGACAGGGGACACGGGGAGTGACAAAGTGAGGATGAGTAATTGAGCCTCGTGAGCGTGCATCAAGATTCAATGTTCGACCCCACTTCCCTTAAAGGCAGCAGAGACTTGCCCTAACACGAGGCCGAGGCGAAGGTACAAAATACCAGTGACACGCTTTACACAGAACAGAAGCCTTGACCGCGGAGCGAAAGGGAATCGTTCTCAGCAGGGCAGGGCTGCCGGCATTGGCTACATGTTCTGGCCTTATGGCGCTGATTATTCGCGTCATCACGACGGACTCTTGACACCAAATCTGGGAGGTGTCACTGTTCTCGGAGGAGAACACTGGGTCCTGGGTGCCTAGTAGGTACTTAAATACTTTATCAACTGAGCTCTGTCGCCACTCAACACCGCAGTGAGGCCATCGTACTTGTATCTGCTACACAAGGTCGCTGCTTGCCACGCAGAACACTCCGTGGCAGATGCTCCACGCACCAAGTATCCGATACTTGGCCTGCCCAAGGAGATATGATCTGAAGCACCTTGCACCCCCTTGTTGCCGGTGACAAGTACTTCGAATGCTGCTAGTTTCGGGCTTGAGGGCGGGCTGAAGTTGAAGTGAGCAACGAGTTAATACCAACAGGTCACTAGCAGCTGAGCAGCGAGCAAGTCATACACCTGGTTATGTGAGGCGCGAGGCGCAACCTGAAGCATAGAAGGGCAATCCACCGCCCAGAGCCCACTTGGAATCAGCGCTAGGGCAGCTACAGATGCTTGAAGACATCAAAGGCAGGGCGGGTGGCGATCCAAGTCAATCACTGCGAGGGAGCTAGGTGGCCCCCGCACACCGCAGAACCAGGCTGGACTGGCACTGGCTGCCTGGCAACTTGTCAAGTGCGCAGGTGAGCAACTCGGCAAGCTGTTGTTGGCCATGACTGTTGGCCCAAGGTTTGGCGGCTGGCTGCTGGCTGCTGTCTACTTAAGTAAGTACTGCCGCATACCAGATCTGTTGGCTGGTAGATGCCTAGCCTCAGGGTACCTATGAGGTACAGTTGGTCGAATATATCTGCCCACATACAAGTATGCACTAGCATACTGTAGTATATTATAGTACAGAGTGTGATGGCCCGGTACCTGATCTGGTGAAAGCCTTTTTGCCTCCCTCTGTACTTAGAATTAGGTTCACTGTTCACTGCCTGCCTGTGCTGCTGGCTGCTGCTGGGCTGCTGCGTTCCGGCCTCCGTCCCGAGCCCCTTCTCACTTTCCATCACATCCCACGCTTTTCGCTCATCAAACATCAAATCTAAACTCCCAACAAACAACAACCACATCCATTCGCGGCCACGCTGTCGTCCCGTGTTCAGCTCCCTCCTCCTGATCCCCCTCCTGAATACTTTCTCGTCCAACTGCCAACTTTCCACATTCGGTATGTGCCTCGCCTGTCGATTTTGAAATGTGCTGTCCATCTCTGCTGCTTCATCCATGCGGCGCACCCCTCCCTCCCCTCTGTCGTCATGGCGCCTCCTCCCACGCCCGCTCCCTTTGGCGAGGAAGTTTGTGATGCACCGCTCCTACGGCCTCATCACCGCAACCGCCAAGCACTGTTGCTGCGCTGCACGAGCCATCGAATTTCTTCCAACCGTGGCAACATGTGTGCCGTATTCCATTGGAGATTCAAACGCGCCAGCTCGACCCAAAACGAACTTGCTGTCGTCTCCTCGACCCCCACCAGAGACGAGAAATTGGCTTACGCAGAGCCGGCGGGAATGCCCACAAGGCTTCCCTCGCCTTCGAGACACCGAGTCCTTGTTGGCCTCGTCTGATAGTGCAAATTGGCCATGGCCTCGAGATTGATGGTATTTCGAGCATGCACCTGCCTAGACTGTCGATGGCCTCTGACCGCCCTCCTGCCGCGAATCTCGGAGTCTACGGACGTGGTCTGACGGGGCTGGGCCGCAACACATCATGCGACTTTATTACTTGCGAAATTGCTTCCATCACGAGCTTGCGCTAACTTGTAATTGCTCACGCACTAGCCAAAACCACCATCAAAATGGGTCACGAAGATGCAGTCTACCTGGCCAAGCTCGCCGAGCAGGCTGAGCGATACGAAGGTTAGTCCGTCCTGTTGTCTCACAGCTAAACCCCTTTCTACGGGGAGGGCTTTGCGCTGACTTGTTCACCAACTTTTATCTAGAGATGGTCGAGAACATGAAGATTGTCGCCTCTGAAGACCGCGACCTGACTGTCGAGGAGCGCAACCTTCTGTCTGTCGCCTATAAGAACGTCATTGGTGCCCGCCGTGCCTCCTGGAGGATAGTCACTTCTATTGAGCAGAAGGAGGAGTCTAAGGGCAACTCGTCCCAGGTCACCCTCATCAAGGAGTACCGACAGAAGATTGAGGCCGAGCTCGCCAAGATTTGCGACGATATTCTTGATGTCCTCGACAAGCACCTAATTCCTTCTGCCAAATCTGGCGAGTCCAAGGTCTTCTACCACAAGATGTATGTTGAGCCATATGTCCAACATGGACCAATCAGCCCATCAACACCGTGTTTTTTGCCTTTGCCTAATATCGTCCTTCAAACTGTACAGGAAGGGTGACTACCACCGTTACCTCGCCGAGTTCGCCATTGGCGACCGCCGCAAGGACTCTGCCGACAAGTCCCTCGAGGCTTACAAGGCTGCTACTGAGGTTGCTCAGACCGAGCTCCCTCCCACTCACCCGATCCGCCTGGGTCTTGCCCTCAACTTCTCCGTTTTCTACTACGAGATCTTGAATGCCCCCGACCAGGCTTGCCATCTTGCCAAACAGGCCTTTGATGATGCCATTGCTGGTATGTTGATCGAAGCCATCCTATCTATCTCGTGACATATCCAATTGGAAACACATCTAACCCCTTGGAACAGAACTTGACACTTTGAGCGAGGAGAGCTACAAGGACTCCACTCTCATTATGCAGCTTCTGCGTGACAATCTGGTACGTATAGAGAGTCTATTGAGTGCTTGTAGTCACCGGCTAACATACCCTGATAGACTTTGTGGACTTCATCCGAGGCCGAGACCTCTGGTGCCGCTGGCCAGGCCGATGCTCCCGCCAAGGAGGAGTCTGGTGCTGCTGCTGAGGCTCCTGCTGCCGCCGAGCAGACTAAGGCCTCTGAGTAAAATGGGTGATTATGTTGCCAAAATAAATGCTTTGATCACTATGGTATCCGGCGGGCTGGTGTCTACGGAGTGGACGGAAGACTCGTTATTTTTTTTTTGTGTTTGATCAAGAGCTTCGGCATCTTTTAGGTAAACGTGCGTATACAATGGATGGAGACGTCGAATATGCCCCTACGGGCTGGTACTGAGGCCTAAAGGAGAGCATTTTTTCTTGGAAGTTCTGCTTTTAGACCCTTGATGCTTGCGATTGTCTGGACAAATAAAAAATACTAAAATTGCTTTCAATACACGAAACAAATGGGCCCAAACTTTGCCGCCCAAATACTTGCGTTGCGCCGTTGAAATTGCCCGTGGTAGATTGCTGCATTACACGACCGTTGCTGTCCACGACAGGGGACCTAGAGCTGTTCACTTCGAGAGCCCTTCTATAGGGCCCAATGGCCACGATGGGTGTGTCAACTTTGATCTATTGGATCTTCACCTACAGGTATAACATCATCCGCCACGGCAAAATGAACCCGTAGCCACAAACTACAATCCTGACAACCCACCATCAGCTCACCCTCATCCTCGACCTCTATCAAATCTTCCTCCTCAAACAAATAGCCCCTCACGTTCCCACACCGACATGATCTGTACCACCGCTCCTTGGCCTCGTCGTACGGCAAATCGTCCAAATCTACATTCTCAACACCCGTCTGAAACCTCTGCGCTGAATCCGTTCCAGCGGCGCCGGAAAACGTCTGAGCCCGACGGAGTTTGGTGTCGTACTCTGTGCGTTGCCGGGGGGAAGAGAGGACCGTGAATGCGGTGGTGATTTGGTCTATTGAGAATAGTGCTCCCGGTGGAGTGTTGGCGTGTGAAATGGTTTTGTCGGGGTGGTTGCGGAGCAAGGCTCTGTGGTAGGCCTTCTTTATGAGTTTGGCGGCGTCTGGTGAATCGTCGATGATGGAGGGCGTGAGGTTGAGGATCTCATAATGTGTCGGGGGCTGTGGTGGGCTCATTCTGGATGAAGCCTGGGCGGGTGTGATTTCCTTTTCTTTTCAGAAACTGCAGTTATTTTGAAGTTTTCTTTCTGCTTCGGAGAGTGGTCGATGTTGAGAGCGGTGATTTTGCTGTTGTGAATTTCGCGGCTGGTCACGTGATTTCGTGATGGAGAGTCTGCGCGGTTGGGGATTATGTTATATTGTGCTTTGTGGAAATATAAAGTTGGGGAATTTATTCCTCATGTGTAGAGTTGCGGTTTCTGATTTCTTTGCTGATACGTAGGGATGAATGAAATCATTTCCTTTGTACATATATTTAATACACCCATGTGGGTTTAGAGATGACAATGCTAGGTATGAAGTTTTATTTTCCTTTGGTTATACAATAAAATACAGAGTATATACAGTGCCTCCTGAGAAAGGCATGTAATCCATCACTGCCATTGCCGTTTGATTTATTTGGGCCATTTGGTCCAGTTCCTCTTTCCCACCTGTTCGCCTGGTTAGCACATGAGACTTGGCAGCAGGTTATTCTTCTTTTCCTTTGTACGTACCCTCTTCCAAGCTTTGATCAGCTTGGGCATCTCTAGCATTGCCTTTCTTCTCTCTTCCATCCTGAACACTATCGTTAGCATAACCGCCGCAAGAAGCCCACAGGCTTGAGGTTTTGACAGAGTCGACATACTTTGCAATCATGTGTCGTTCGTGAATGTGACCCTTGACCTTTTGTCCCACACCGGTACCCTTCACTCTCAAACCGTGCTCGACGCGGTGTGCAAGTCGGTATTCGGCCCCCTTGGTCGTCTCGGGAAGCAGATCCTCGACGCCGTGCTCCCGTGCTAATTGTACGAGCTGTGCTTGTCGGCGGTATGAGTACACTGGGTCGTGCCATTTCCCTGTAACGGGGTGCTTGTAGAATCGGAAGGGATCAGGTCGCTGCTCCTGATACTGGGTTGGAGCAGATCCTGGGGACTGGATTGCCGCTGGCGGCCATCGAGCAAAGAATCGCTGTAGGGGTTCGGGCAGCGTCCTGGCTAGCTGGATGTATTTTGTTGCCGAAGCCATTGCGTCTTGTCACGGTGTGATCCTGCTCACTCGTCTGAAGCAGGAGCACCTCTTCAATAAGATACAAGATGCTGGATCGGCCAGAGGAGCCTGGCGGTCGGGATGCGTTGATGGGATCGAATTGACCGAAGTAGGAGATTGAAAGCCTGACAAGCACGTCGACAAACGAAGCTGATCTCGGTATCGAGGCTGCACTGCGACTTTTGCAAGACCCATGTTCGCGCTTGAGACCTCTGCATTTGCAGCATCTGATTGGCCAGATTTGAGCTCGTCGCATGTGGGCCTCTGAAAGCCCGGCAGCCTTGCCTAAATTGCCTCTGAGCTAGTCGTGGGCAATTCTACTTCTCGCCTCTTACTCACATACACCTTCGCCGTTGCTGCTAGGTTGCAGTTTTCATGTTCTGAAGAGACCTCAAGCAAGAGAAAGCGATGCCTCTCGATATAGAGGAGATTCTCCGGCAAAAGAAGGCCACAGATGCTGCGGCCGCAAAGCCGCGCTTCATCCCCAAAGCGCAGCGCGAGCGCATGGCGGCAGAGCAAGCCAAGAGAGAGGAAGACGACAAAAGGCGCAAAGCTGCAGACGAAGCACAAAAGCGAAGAGATGACGAGAGAAAATGGGAGTCGCGACCCAACGGACCATCATCCACGTCACATAGGATCCCAAATGGCCCATCGCAACCCCCCACCGGGCCTCGAGCCATGAACCCGCGAAAGGGTGACAGCAAGAAGAGCGACAAAGTAAACGGGGACAAAAAGTCTGCCGAGGATATTGAAGCTACGCTATTTAGGTCTCGATATCTGGGCCCTGAAGTAAACCAGCAGTCTAGCTTCTCTGCCAAAAAGAAGCGTATGCGTACGACGGAGAAGAAGTTCAACTTTGAATGGGATCTGGAAGATGATACATCCAGAGATAACGATCCCATATACAAGAACCAGGCTGTCAACAGGGGCGGTTCTCTTGCTGGCTTGGGCGGCGAATTCGACGAGGAGGCCGAGAGACGGGCCCGCAAACGAGCAAGGCTAATAGAGGAGCGAGACGTCGAAAATGGCAAGGAGCGCGCCAAGGGCATCATGGAGGACTTCTACCGTGCGCGAGCTAAAGCCAAGGAGAGAGCGGAGAGGACAGGCCTCGGGCGTCATTGGTCGGAGAAGAAACTTGGGGAGATGCGGGAGCGAGACTGGAGAATATTCAAGGAGGACTTTGGCATCTCTACAAAGGGCGGAGCAATACCTGATCCTATGCGCAGCTGGGAAGAGTCCGGCCTACCACAACGATTGCTCGATATCGTCGACCGAGTGGGCTACAAGGAACCTACGCCCATCCAAAGAGCAGCCATCCCCATTGCCTTGCAAGCCCGCGATCTGATCGGTGTGGCCGTCACCGGTTCCGGTAAAACAGCAGCCTTCCTTCTTCCCCTCCTCGTGTACATCTCCGACCTGCCCCCCCTCACCGAAGTCAACAAGAACGACGGCCCATACGCTCTTATTCTCGCACCAACCCGTGAACTGGTCCAGCAAATCGAAACGGAAGCCAAAAAGTTTGCTGAGCCCCTGGGTTTCCGCTGTGTCAGCATCGTCGGTGGCCACTCCCTCGAAGAGCAGGCCTTTGCGCTGCGAAACGGCGCAGAAATCATTGTCGCCACTCCCGGCCGTCTAGTCGACTGTATCGAGAGACGACTGCTAGTCCTGTCGCAGTGCTGCTACATAATCATGGATGAAGCCGATCGCATGATCGACCTCGGTTTCGAAGAGTCCGTCAACAAGATCCTCGACGCTCTCCCCGTCAGCAACGAGAAGCCCGACACAGACGACGCTGAAAATGCGCAGCTCATGAAGTCCTACCTCGGCAGCAGGGACAAGTACCGCCAGACAATGATGTACACGGCCACCATGCCACCGCTCGTGGAACGCATTGCCAAGAAGTACCTCCGTCGTCCCGCCACCGCAACCATAGGCAACGCCGGTGAAGCAGTCGACACTGTCGAGCAGCGTGTGGAGTTTATATCCGGCGAAGACCGCCGCAAGAAGAGGCTACAGGAGATTCTTTCCAAGAACGACTTTGCACCGCCCATTATCGTCTTTGTCAACATCAAGAGGAACTGCGACGCTGTCGCGCGGGATATCAAGTCCATGGGCTGGTCTACCGTCACTCTGCACGGTTCCAAGACACAGGAGCAGCGAGAGGCTGCGCTTGCTTCGGTGCGCTCGGGTGCGACTCAGGTCCTCGTCGCTACGGATCTTGCTGGTCGTGGTATCGATGTGCCGGACGTTTCGCTCGTCGTCAACTTCAACATGGCTACCAGCATCGAGAGTTACACCCACCGTATCGGTCGTACTGGTCGTGCGGGCAAGAGTGGTGTGGCGATTACGTTCTTGGGCAACGAGGACGCTGATGTCATGTACGACTTGAGGCAGATGCTCAGCAAGAGCTCCATCTCCAAGGTGCCCGAAGAGTTGAAGAGGCATGAGGCGGCGCAGTCGAAGCCCGTTCGGGGTGGCGCCAGGAGGGAGAAGGATGACGCCGCTGCTGGAGGCGGAGGCGGAGGAGGAGGGGCCGGTAAGGGCGGCTGGTGAAGGGTGTACTCATAGAAAGTAAAATTATCAAATGTAATATCATGAATCGTGTTAGCGGACAATCATTTATCAAAATAAATCTGCAAGAATTGTGTGTTCGTCCTTGTTGCCTCTTGGTGAAGGTGAGATTGCCAACAAAAGAAAATGAAACAAAACATAAACCAAATGGAACAATTGTATATTGTTTACTATGTTTACTCTAGCTTGAGCTGCTCAAATTGCTTGATAGTCTCCTCAAAACTGATAGCCTCCTGTTTAGCATCTGCCAGTCTCTGCTCGTCTCCCTCACGAACAGCCGCAGAGACCTTCTCTATGTAGCCAGGGTCAAACAGAATCTTCTCCTGCTTCTGAATGCTCATCTTGGCCTTCTCTAGC